CCGGGGGACGCAAACTTACGTGACTTGAAGCACGAGTTCAACGTTCAGGTCCGCCGGCCGCGTAATATGAATGTAGCGATTCGATGACGCGACGAAGCATGCAATAAATTCTTATTTTTGCTCATGGAATTCGAAATAAATCTGTAGATTGGTTTCGATGAAATCATCGTTGTCATGCACCAATCAGTTGCAACTGTCTAGACAGACAGTGACTCACTACTATTAGATTGTCGGTGATGGTGGTAACAAACAAAGCTGTAACCCCCTGGCCGCCGAACGTGTCAGCGCACGGAACTTCAACAAGTCACCTGATCCGCTACCGGGCACCTCACAGAACCGGGTTGAAGGAGCAGACTAGAAAATGTATGTTAATTCGACACCTGCGCCCCTCGAAATATATCACATTAATTACTGACCATCAAGCACATGAGGTATCAAAGATTGGTACCTAGTCAAGTGACCTTTTCCTTTTTTTTTTCTCTTTATTTGTCACTATTTTGACCGGCATACCAGATTATACCTTGACAAGCAACAAGATCCGTACCCAGAGAGCTCAAAACTTGAGTTATGGTCCGTATAAATCGGTATAAATACGAGGTCGTTTATTGTCACTATTGAAACCATTGTTGTCCCTCAATTCACTGCATCAATCGATTCTTGATCAAATAGACGCGACTCGCCTGTAGATTTTCTATAGACATCTATAATCATTGCTAGACGATGTCCTCGACGCCGTCCCAGCCTCATCCCAGTCTAGAAGTTCCCCCAAACATGTCTCTTAACAGTCTTTCTAACGCAAGCTCAAGGGCTAGTAGCGAGGCATCCTTGCAGCGCGTCAAGAACCTGCCTGGTTATACTACCCCAGTCTTCAAAGGCAAGGAAGAACAACGCGCCAAGGTACAGGCAGATGTCGCTGCCAAGGTGATCTAATCTACGTCTCTCTAAATCACAGTTGGCATTAATATTCGCGTCAAATCAATAGGGTTTCATTCCTCGCGAGTTGGTTGCAAACGAAGTCAACTGGTTTTACTCTCAGCTCGGCATCGATGATACCTACTTTCAAAATGAATCGCCCTCTGTAATATCTGATCACATCATCGCGCTCTTTGGTGCTAAGGTGCTCGCCTATACCAAGCACGACCTCAATAAGCTTGTCATCGACCTCGAGAGGATCGACGAGAAAGGGAATGGGGCGACTTTCATCCACACCAGTTTACCGGGTCTGACTTCCACCGAAGGGCCTGGTGCTACTTGCGAATCCAGGTATGTTTATTTGATGAGGCTCACAATTACTATGCCAATTTTGTGCCTGACACAGAATCGACTCTTTATACCTTGACAACTCAACTCCGTCGAATTGTTACCGCCTTGAGACTTTCCGATCCACCGGATCTATATCTGCAACAGCATCTCAACAGCTGCGCTGTTACTTCATCACCAAGTGCAACTTCCCTTCTCCCCCACCCCCCTCAACTCAGACTGATGGACTTACCGATATCCGTACGGTCTCCGACACTGCTTTCCTTGAGAAAGCGAGTCCACATACTCTTGAAGTGTACCAGAAAATTATCTGGCAAGTCGAGAGCCGCTACGGTCCTGTCATGGAAGTATTTGAAGTTGAAGGCACTCGTGAGAGGCGTCTTGTCATTGGATACAAGATGGGCGGCACTTCCCGGTTCTTTAGGTATGTTGACCCATTTGCGTTATAGCACGGTAGCTTAAACTCATTTGCAGCGCTCTGTCGAACCTCTATCACTTTTATCAGCTGTACTCGGCTCGCAAGTATGTAGAGCAGTTCTCCAATGGAATCACGATCATCTCTCTCTACCTGAATCCGATGCCTAACTCAACTGGCGCGCCGATTGAGCACTCCATATTCCAGGTGATGAAGGAGGCATCACTGCTTTATTGTCTTCCCGACAACCCCTTTTTCCTCGACTCTGTCAATTCTGGACATGCTGTGCAAGAGGCGACCTATGCTTGTATGTTCAACATTCTTGAAACAGGAATCGAGTTAATTGTTCATCAGATTGTGGTTGGGTTTTCGCTCAACACTTCTGCAATCGCCTGGGTCCCGCGTACCTCCACCTCAAAAATATCCTGGACGAATCGAACCCCTTACACGCCGAAGTTCTCAATAATATCAAGAGACGCTTCAGGGAGGAGACTTTCACGCGGGAGAGTATTGCTCAAGTCATCCATGCACACGCGGAAATCGTGCGTTTCCGGTTTCGTTCGGGATATCACATTAACACCTTTCTGACAGATACATCTCCTCTATGTTAATTTCGCTATGGTACATTATCCAGCTGCAGATGAGGCATCGCAGCTCGGGTGAGTCTGCTCATGTATTTGCCTGGGGTGATTTTGACGAGACGCGCCCAGACCTACTCTCTCTTACCAACGTCTTCAAACGACGCAGCCCCTGTCTGACTCTGAGTTGTACGATAAAATCAGACGTACAGTCCTGAACAAGCAGGATTTACAAGTTCTCGAGAGTTTCCTCATATTCAACAAGTGAGTCTGAAAGTGAATGATTGATTAGTAGCTGACCTTTCCGTAGGCACATTTTGAAGACGAACTTCTATCAACCCACGAAGGTTGCATTATCATTCCGTCTGGCTCCTGAGTTTTTGCCCGAGATTGAATACCCAAACAAACCTTTCGGAATGTTCATCGTCATCGGAAATGAATTCCGTGGTTTCCACATTCGCTTCAGAGATGTTGCCCGCGGCGGTATTCGAATCGTTATGTCGCGGAACAAGGAGTACGTGCGCCTTTTCTGGACTTTGGAATCTTGCAGCTGAGTTCTATGCAACCAGGAACTATTCGATCAACCAGAGGATGTTGTTTGATGAGAACTACGGACTAGCTGCCACTCAGTCTTTGAAAAACAAGGACATTCCAGAAGGAGGTGCTAAGGGTACTATTTTGCCTTCGTGCGTGATTTCACTTCCCACCTTTGCATTTATATATATACCTTTCACGCAGTCTTGGAGCGCCGCCTAGACGCTGTTTCGAGAAATATGTCGATGTAAGTGAGCAATTATGCACCAATGGATAGATATTAATTATTTGATTAGGCCATTATCGACTTGCTTATCCCTGGCCAAACTCCAGGGATTAAGGAACGCCTGGTTGACCTGTATGGAAAGCCAGAGTTGCTGTTCTTCGGCCCTGATGGTAGGATTGCCTGTCCGATATATACCATGGAGGTGACTAATATCTCGTATAGAGGGTACAGCAGACATGATGGATTGGGCAGCGTTACACGCTCGTGATCGTGGTGCCGAGACATGGTGGAAGTCATTTACCACCGGCAAGAGTGCCGAGCTTTTGGGTGGTATTCCCCATGATACATATGGAATGACGTCGTTATCCATTCGTCAATATGTGCTTGGCATTTACAAGCAGCTTGGACTCAGGGAGAAAGATATCACAAAAGTTCAAACTGGCGGTCCTGGTATGTTTGCGTCTTTACTCTTTGAAAGTTGTCCTTGACACTTTGCAGACGGAGATCTTGGATCAAATGAGATACTGTTGAGTTCCGACAAGACGATTGCTATTATCGATGGTAGTGGCGTTCTTGTCGACTCTGCAGGTATTAATAGGGAGGAACTCATCCGCCTCGCCAAACGTCGCCTGACCGTTGCTCATTTTGACAAGACCAAGTTGAGCAAGGACGGGTACCTTGTCAAGGTCGAGGAACAGGATGTCAAGCTACCCTGTATGTGCGGCTTTCTCGAAGTTCGTTGTTATCTCACACGCTGTTGTTAGCCGGCGAAATCGTTCTGGACGGTACTGACTTCAGGAATGGAGCTCACTTCCGTTTCAAGGCAGATCTTTTTGTGCCTTGCGGTGGACGGTATGTTTGCATTACCAGCTGCACCAAACACCAGCTGACAATCATTCAGTCCCGAAGCCGTGAACATATCTAATGTTGCCGCTTTGACAGATACAGAAGGCAAACCCCATTTCAAGTACATCGTCGAGGGTGCAAATCTGTTCTTCACTCAGCAGGCAAGGTTGCACTTAGAAAAACGCAAGGTTGTCTTGTTCAAGGACTCCAGTACGAACAAGGGTGAGGTTATCTTACTATCACTTATTTGATGATGTTGACCCTGCTTCAGGTGGTGTGACCAGTTCCTCGCTTGAAGTCCTCGCGGGTCTCGCCCTCACGACCCAGGAATACCTCGACCTCATGATCTTCAAGGACGGCAAGCCTTCAGAATTCTATCAAAAATACGTCAAAGAGATTCAAGAAAAGATTTCGGAGAATGCCGCGGCGGAGTTCCATTGTATCTGGCGTGAGCACGCCCGCCTCCAAGGCGCTAAGCCCCGAACGCAGATCTCGGACGAGTTGTCCACGAGGCTCAATAACTTGCAGGCAGAGCTTGAATTCTCTGACTTGTTTGATGATGTACCTAGCCGCAGGGGCGTCATGAGACGCGCTATACCCGCCACCCTGGTAGATCAGGTTGGTCTCGATGCCCTGCTAGAGAGGCTTCCCGAAACATACCAACGTGCTCTATTCTCGAGCTGGGTTGCTTCGCATTATGTGGGTTTTAACCGTATCTTCTTTTCTTGCTGGCTGCTCATCCTAATTTCATCTTGCAGATCTACAAATACGGTGTTAACAGCTCTAGCGTAGACTTTTTCCATTTCGCTCGGGATCTCGCACGGTAATACTTGTTTCGGGACTTGACCTTGACTTTGAGATCTCTACATACTGTACATAGGGAGAGGCCGATAATACCATATCAGGACCGATAAAATCTCCAATACGATGGATATAATAATGTACCAAATGTGACACAACCTGGGCTGCTTTGCACCTGTAATGTAAAAGCAATGATCGACTACACCAGCTTGCAAATAAAATGTTGGATGGAACTGCAGTTCGAAAATTAAAATTCAGAAAGTTGACAGTAATACGAGCGAGTTGCCGGCGAAATACCATGCTGCACGTACGAAAATATTTTGGACAGACAGTGCAAAAACTCTCTGGCGGGGGGTCGAACCCCGCTCTCCCGCGCACAGTAGATGTGACAGGCGGGTGTACTATCCGATATACTACCAGAGATATATTTGGCAAGACAAATATAGTTCAAATCCAACAGAGAGTCACAGCGTTGGCCATGATTTCCACTGGTCGCTCGTCGATTACTGTGGCCCTCGCCAGCCCTATAAATTATTATTGGATTTGAATTGTACTCGTATCGGAAACCAATATATTCCCTCAGCCTATCTAGTAACTCCGAGTCATCTTCCTTTTTTTTTTTTAGCTACGATAACTGTCGACATTGAACTCATGTCACGAATGAACCAATTCTACATGAACGGGCAACATTATCCTTCGGAGGCAACAAGAATCTATACACAACTTTCTCCTGGCAGTCGAGCACTGGCATTCCTGATCAATCTTTCAATATTTACCCTGCAACGGCAACACGACATTGGTCGATGGCGAAGTACGAACTTACGACTATGACCAACTTAGTGAAGCATCCGTTCAGGGAACTGTGCTAGGCGGCCACTCGTTTCGCATTGCGGCCCAACCTATAAAGTCCAAGCTCAAATCGGACGCCACAACATTTGTTCCTCGCCGCTTTAGAGTTTTCCTCCACCCGTTTACACACCAGAGTGTGTGGTTGCATATCCTTGACGTTGGCATGCTGGCATCCGATCCCACTTTAGTTAGGTCCATGGTCATTCGATGCATCACGCGATCTTGCTCAACTTTTCAGCTGGGAAATTTCAGCCAAAGCGAATAGTGGATTTTGGACCAGAGGCGGCGCCCTTTGCGCGAGAGGTACGCTACATTGGCGAATCATCATTCTGTGTGGCACTCTGGAATTGCAATACCACGTACACGAGAACACCAGATTGATTTGAAGTGATCAAAAGTATTCTATTGCAATTCCTTCTGACGGCGCTTCGTCATCGCACAGGATAATCCAAATGCTATTTCCCTGTGGAATAGACTAGAAACTAAACGGTGGAATGTCACGTTAGATTTTTCTTGCTTCATAGCAGACATGTTCTCATTTGACCTCACCCAAATACTAATCATGCACGAGTATCTGGGGATTCTGTTGCACGAGATGGTTGACGTACAACACGTACGGACCATCCAAGCCATGGTTAAACGCGCGGAATCGACGTTATGGCAATCAGCCGATAGTCATGAACGCCGCCACGAATTTACTACGCGTTTCATGGGGCGCACCGCATTGCTTGCGGATAATGCAAGCTTGACTGGACGAGCAGAAAGCATCCGTAAGGTGATGAAGGTGTGTGTGATATTGCCAGATAGCTTTTATATGATAAAAACTCATTGTTCACTGCACAGGCTGATAATATCATCTCGCTGATCAGTGAATGGCAAGCGCGGCGGTCAGAGTACCCTCCGCCTCCGGTGAGATCTGTCTGGGGATTATCATTATCTGGCTTTGATGTGTAGTCTATGCGCATCGTGACTTAGTGTATCTGAAGACGAAAATGTATGCTTTATGAAGAATGCCAGGTTTGACTACTATAAGAATAGTGTGTTTTGATTCATGCACTAGGGTTTGGGCGACGTAGGATACACCCTGGATGAATTCATTGCCGCACTTGTAGCGTGAATGTGCTGTGTGACATTCACCTCAAGAAACCCACTTGGCAGACAATAAGGTCAAGGAGAGATTCTGCTTTTGTCAATGATATACATTTCTCGTTCAATAAGAAGCGATGTTACATTCGAACACTTCGAAGATAGTTGATGAAATGTTATAATCGAGTGCCTATCCAGACCGTCTATTTCTTCGACATAATTTAGCGCGTGTTTATATGCCTAGATCACGCAAAGCATCATCATCGTGAACTTTAGGTGCTGGAATATGGGCCCTAGCCCACGATGACGTCTGGTACGTTGCGTTCAAAAGAGGATCTAGAGGACAAAGTGCCCACGATGTTCCTTCTGACGAAGTGTGTGGGAGCAGCGCCACTGCTGCCAACGAGAGGTATGTGTGATAGGGATCTAGGACAGCGTTTGCTGCAGAGTCAAAGTGTTTGAAAATAACGTACCAGGATGTTCGCCAGGAATTTTTGCAGTTCCGCCGTACTTGAATTGGCAGGAAGCTATAAAGGACGACATTGCTGTTTTGTCGACCAAATCGCCTGCATCCAACACCTGGTGTGTTGAAACAGGGGGAAATGTTTAGTTTCCATCGACGTCATAAGACACTATGTACTTACATGTAGCGATGCGCCGCACCAGAAACAATAACATGCGTCGGCGTCCTTGTTAGTCCTTCCACTAAACCCGCCATTAGAAGCTTGGTTTTGTACAAGCCACCGAATGGTTTTCTGTCGGTCTTGAACAGAAAGAGGGTCTAGTCGTTTAGTAGCTAGTCGGAGTGCTGCCAATGCACAATACGTAGTGCCACCTAAGAAGGAAAGCAGTTGGGTGAGCTTTTATCATATCACAAGGCATGGCACGCCACCTAGAGCCTCCCCAAATGGCGATTGCCCATAGCCTCCTTCATAGGTCTTAAGAAATGGTGTTAGACAAATCCCCGATGGAAAGTTGTCGCAAACGTACCCGGCACGAATAAATAAACTGGAGAGCACTTGCAACATCCATCCCTGACCAATCGTCAAGCATGGTGCTTATGGCGAAAGCACAGAACGTCGTGCGTAGATCAGAGTCACCTCCTGAGGGTTCGGAAGAAAAACTAGGACCCTTGGTCTGTACCTCAAAGGTACCTGACATGATGTAGGGACTTACCTTCCATCGATGTTCTGACAGGACCTGAGGAACTTCAGGAGGCCCTTCCTGTTAAGACGTGAAAAGTTATCGCGCAATATGGACAACGAAAGAAGCGCAGTATAAGTCATGATGATCTGAGGGTTATCGTTATCATGATCCGAATTTTCCTCTGTCTTCAGACTAGAAATCAGTCATGTCTATAAAACGAAGGCCGATGCTCACCGAGTGTTTTGTAGACATATAGGAGCTTGCTCGGAAGCCTGTCCCATAATGTCCGCCTGGTGACTGTGCTCAATTCTTCTACACATTTGGATCTCAGAACTCACGAGTCTGTTGACTCCATATCCATTCCCTCCATTGTTCTCTTTCCCAATCCTTAGTCTTCTTTTCGAGTTCACCCGAAACATCCAGGGAGCCTAGACAGTAAAAGGATAAGGCAAGCCTGTGATAACGATGTTAGAATTGCTGTCATTGAGATCGGCATTGAATAAAGCACTTGGCAGGATCAATATCCACTTGGGAAGATGGCAAGCCAGACAAGCATCTTTTGCAGTGTGTCGCATGACCACCTTTGCTCAGCGGAGGCAAACTTGTCGGCAGCATTTAGTGATTTTCCCACAAAAGAGTCTCCCTTGGTGAGATGAAAAGAGGTATTCCTAGCAAGTAGAGGGTGTGGTGCACTGGTTAGCATATATAGTGTTTGCTGACTCCACCCATTCAAAAACGATGATTGTGGGCGTCGGATCAGTCGCCGGGCGGGCCGTTGCTCTCATCGCCCACGCCAGTGCGAACGCATTGCTTGAACACCACGACTCGCGCCGTTGAGCCTCAAGACTCTCCGAGATGAATATGGAGGAGATCGTTACTATACTTGATCTAATCTCGTATAAGATCTACTATCGCCCTTTGAGAAAAACCATGATGACGTATTGGTGATCAGCCCTCCCTCATACATGGGCTGGTCACAGGTTAGCGTGTCATCTCGTGTGCTGCTCAGCCTCTTGCGGATTGAGACTTCCGAGATTTGAAATATAGAGAAGATCCAGCACTCTTTATTTCACTCTCACATAAGATCTATCGTCCTTCGAGATATCAACGTCGCAACACGTATCCGAAGAGCGTGCTGTCGTGTACCAGCTTCGAGAAGACTCTTGTTGCTATCCAACTGATTAGCAACAATCGATGTAATACAAGCACTCCTAGATGTAAGATGGTAAGAAGGCTTTCAAGAGCCGTGATCTTATGGGCACCTAACTATCTGAAGACGGCAGCAATGAAACAATCACTCCCTACCGCGCTGTTTTATCGGTGTATTGTTATGATATAGTGGCAACTTGGGATCATTGGTTTGAGTATATGATGTCCGATCAAGCGCATTGGGCGAGAGTACAAAAGATGCGGTTGAGGAATAATCCGAGTACGGCACTGTGACAGAATAAAACTATCTCGTTTGATCAGTCGCATGGCAGGGAAAGACAAAGTCAGATGACGAAAAGGTCAAGTATTCAATCAAAAGCATTGCTACGCTGGGATAAAATATTTCTCAAATCATCCCAGCTGTCCAGCAAAAGTTTGGAACAGATCCCAGGCTTTAAAAAGACAAATGCACCACTTAACATTCAGTCTTTCGAGAAAGGACCAAGTCATCTACGACGGAAACAAACATACTTACGTCCCCACAAGCGAGATTTTTCCGATTGGCCCAACAATTTGGTACCGCACAACATCCCGCACATGCTCTGCTGTGACTCAGCGGATGTTCGTACATGAGTGTGTTCGTTGCTGGGAGTATGCGAGTTGGCGTCGTAGGTGCCAGCGCACGAAGAAGTAAAAGAATATTGTCACCGGGCGAGACGTAAACATTTAACAGGCTGTACGACCGTATGATATGTCGCAGAGTCCGCTTGCGATTTTAAGAGCGTATTCGCCGAGCAGGGAGCGACAAGGGCTATGTCAGTCCATCTCCTCAACTTGATATGCAGGATTGGGTTTGTCGTGGACATTGAGACGCAAAAAAAATTAAAACTTTGTGTACTCACTGACCCACTCGTCCTCATCCGCCCACACGCATCCAACTGCCTTGGTCACGTCCACACGGTCGTAAAATGCAAGCGACTCTTTCGTTGGAATCGTTGCAACCACTTCTATTTTTGACTTTCTGGTACTACATTGCACGTGCAGTGTGAGCACTGGCAGCAGTAGGATCTTATCACACCTACCTTCATATCGATAGACCAGATTTGATTTTGTTCCCTTCACCGCTTTTGTTTAGTTGTAAAGCTAGACAAACAAAAGGGTCCGGGGCGCGCGAATTGTCCTAGAATGGCAAG